CCCAGATGTCTTTGCAACTATACAATGCAACCATGTAACCAAAAACTATTTGTACTCCCTAAGGCTACTGAAATTTTTAAAATTTTAACTATGATAAATGTTTAGAGGATCCACAAAAAAAGGTGAGAAACATGTATAAAAAGATGAGGAATTGCAGCAGAGAAATAGAAATGATAAAAAATGCCAAGTAGAAAAAGAATCAGGAATTAAAGTAGAAATTCATGACTTTTCCCATATAGCCCAGTGGGCTGTCTCCAAAAAAAAATACTGATTTTACAGATCAGAAAACTGAGGCAGTCAGATACCAAGACATGAAATCTCTTACAAAAAATAACAACCACTGGGAACTTGGGCCATCATCAGTGCCCAATTCCCCAGCTTCTTGTGACACCTGGGTACACAGAGAGACTTAGAAAGTTACAATCTCTGAAGATGCACAGTCTAATCCAGGGGTCCAGTCCAGGAGGCTTTTTGTTTGTTTTTCTCCACCAGTCATATCCAGTCCACAGCCTCTTCTTCTATGTTCTCTGAGCTAAGAATGGGTCTCACATTTTTTAGGGTTGTAAAAACAGCAACAAAGATTATGTGGCAAAGGCCATGGATAGCCTGCAAAGCCTAAAATATTTACTAACTGGCTCTTTACAGAAAAAGTCTGTCACCCTTTGATCCAATCAAAATACCAAGCTCAGTAGACCAAATAAAAAAGTGGAACTTAAGAAAGCAAAGAAAGGGACTATGCATGTCATGATTTTTTTTCCCCAGTTTGTCTTTACCAGTCATCTGGGTACTGACAATATAGATGTCCATGGGAATTTAAGCTCTCTATCTAAAGCTCAAATTGAAGGAAGCATAAGGATAAGTCCTACACTGACCCTGCCGGCCTCCCTGTCTCCATAACCCACCACTTCCCTATGCTCCAGCCAAATGCTTCCTCCTTCTCCTCACACCTGGCCTTTGCTCATGAGTGCCCTTTATCTGCAGCATCCTTCCCCCCTTCTCTTCACCTGGAAAACTTCTATTTATTCATGATCCAGCTCACATGTCACCTCTTCCTAGATGTTTTTCCCACCCTGCCAGGAAGTATCAGGCGGTACTGCCTTCTTGCTCCTCTAGTATCTTCCTGTCCCTCTGATATGATACTTTCAACACTGTACTGTCACATCTTAGAATAGACTAATAAATAAACTCATCTTCTTATGGAGAAGAGCCGTATGTTATTCATTTCCACTTACTAGGAAACTAACCTGGTGCCTAATAATGTTACAGGTTGAAAAAAGGCCATTTTGATTATATTAAAACAGTCATTTAGAAAGACTTAGAAATTTGTATTCATTTGAGTTAGGATAAATGTAGAAGTCATTTGAATTTAAAAGTGAATATTTTTCCTTGTCCTCCCCCTTCACTGTCCTTGGATCTAGTAACAGTTGCTTGGTACTGAAAGAAACACAACCATCTTCACTGAGCCCCCAATAAGCAGGAAACACACATATTAAAAAACTGCACATCCCTGGAAAAGCCTCTACCGGGCATAGATAAGAAATGGGCTCTGCTGAAACTGGCTAAAACCCAGAGATGTATCTGTTCCCTTAGTCTCTAAATGACAAATGCTTTCTTTCACGTCTTTGCATTAATTTTATGTATAATGTTTAATTAAGCCTTACGAGCTAGAACTCCTGGAATAAGCAAAAACTAACCAACTGCAAAGCACAACACCCCAAATTGTGCAAGGTAACTGTAACTTAGAAGAATGGCAGAACTGATGTAATCTGAGTTCCGGTTTGTGACAGTAACTGTTTGAGTCTAAACAATGATTAAGAAAGAAACCAAGTAATGGTCATAAGACATGTGGTTATCATTAATCAATAATGGAAAAAAGATAAGAAATGGTATGTTTTATTATAAATACTGGATGAAAACTCTGCTTAAATGAGCAGGTTTTTGGTGGATACACAGCCTGTTCTCTGATCCTATGGTATCAGAATAAAACTTCTTAGTTCTCCCAGTTCTCTGCGTCTCTTATTTGATTGACTGTGAGGAATGCAGCTGATTGTTGGATCAGGCCGTAACAATAACAGGCAAGCAGAGAACACACACATATGTAAAATAAGAAAAGAATTGCTTACCAAAAAAGAAAAGAAAGCTTTTACTTTCTATCAAGTGTACTTCATCCTCATATACCTAATAATATGTGTCAGGAATACAACAGGTAAGGTCAGAAATCCTATTCTCCCTTCAAGTAAAGCCTCTGCCAGGACCTTATTACTCCAGGATTCTTAAAGCTCTACCTATCAGAAGATTCAGATGAGCAAACCACTTTTCCCTTCTGCAAAACTTGTCACATGATACAACCACCAAGGCCAGGTTAAGTGGGAATCCAGGTGGTCTCACAGTGCCCCTTCCAACTAAGTATTACAATCTCTAAAATAACATAATCCTCTCACTCTTGAAGCAAATGTGAATGTGCATAGGGCATACAGATGGTCCAACCAGAAACCAATGATATCCTGGAAGTGTAGGGAACAGCAAAAGACACAACCTGATCAGCACACCTGAGCTGCAATGAATAACTCCCACTTGGCCTCCCACCCTTCCTCTGTACTCACTCAAAACTGAAAGTCCCCAGGAAGTGGGTTTGGCTGGCTGGGCTCAGGACCTGTGCCCAGATCTAGTTCCATAGAGGAAGCCGGGCATTGGGAATACAATCTCACTGAGACTACAAACAACAGGAAACAGGAAAGCTAAAAGGAAAATGGGATTTCAGTGACATGAAGAAATAGATACTGAGCAGTCAAAAAAAAAAAAAAATGAGAATGCCCACAAAAGTAGATAACTATTTTCAAAGTGAAGGAAGCAACTTGCTTTACTAGTCCCTTGGAATTGTGGTTCAGAGAAGGGCATTATCCATCTAGAGATGGGGGGGGGGATCAAGAACAATGTACCTTCTTTATTCCAAAGTCACCCTTCATTTTAAAAATACACACACTTGTACCAAGGGTCATCTAACTTCCTTCCCACTTTACCAGTAAAAGAAAAGTTTCTCCCCCAGGGCAATCCTAAGGAGGTGGAAGAAAATGAAGCTGTGGATTCCTTTCACTGTAGTTAACATATTCCAGGCTGTGATCTTACATCTCCAGATGACTGTCCCAGGTGGCCAACTTTTCTTGCCCATTCTACACTGATTTAACCCTTCATCTCCAGCATAAGGATCCTTTTTATTTGGTCGTCAGGCTACTTGCAGAGAAGTGACAACCTGCCTGCCCCTCAGAGACCAACTGCAAGAGCCTCTTAAACCGTGTGCTGGCCCCAGTTTCTCACTGTATTGACAGATTCCTCACCAGGATGCCACAGGGCTCTAAAAGCACAAGTCAGATCCCATCACCCCTGATGCTCACACACATCAGGAATCTCCACTGCTTCAGAATCACTTACAGGCTAACTCCTCGAGGAGTCCAAGGTCATCTGTAACCCAGCTTCAAACCTCACTTCTTTCACTGTGTCCTGTCGTCTCCTTGACCCAGTCTCCTCCCGCAGCAAGTACACATCTTTCAAAACTGAGGTCAAATGCCATCTCTGATCAACCTTGCAATCCCAAATCTTACTATCTTTACCTCCATTTAACACTTACTGTAACCAATCTGGCTTTTTTCAAAGTTCTTGGTTTAAATCCATCTTCCTCATAAACTGAAAATTTTCTGAAGACTAGGATCCTACCGTGTTTGTATTTCCTGGAGAGCCTAGTTCAACCAGCATTTCTTATGTGCCTCCTGTATGCTTTGAGCATCCATGTAATAATCAAATTAGTAAGCACAGGCCTGTGCTCAGCCAGCATGTCTGCCTTCCCCTCCCAGGAGAGCACAATCCCAAATGATCTCACATTGCCTTCAACTTCCTTCCACACAGTACTGCATGCACCAGGCTACCCACCAACACTGGGCAAGGCTGCTCCTGACCTCAAACCCTGTGGTATCCACAGCAGACAAGACTAGATACTGCCAACAGCCATTCTTCTCTCCCAACTCCTTCACTGTCAGTCCTAATTCTGTCTAGATGCCCACCTTCCCATACGTGACTAGAAAAGAGTCCTAGCTGCATCCACTGGAGTCCTCCCTAACTCCTTCTGCAGAGGCCTGGCTTAGCCATCGGCACCAGGTGTAATTCAGGCAAATGTGACATAAGAGAAATTCTGCTGGGCACTTCTGGAAAAGTCCTTGTGATAGAGCCGCGCAAGCCAACACAGCCTCTTTTCTTCTGCATAGTGTTGTATTGTCTGCATGTGACCTATGGGGCAATAATAGCCACCATTTTACTGTGGAAACAGCCAGCCTGAGGCTGCATTAAGTCAACCCCGGGGACACTTCTAGACTTCTCATGTTGCAAAATAAATGCTGCACTTAAGCAGAAAGATCCTGACAAAGAGTGTCCCATTAATTAAACGTATTAATAGCAATAGCAACAATAATAGCACACTTCCACGATCTGCCAGGCATGTGCTAAGGCCTGGACAAATATGGTTTCCTCTGATCCCCTAGGCAATCCTGTATGTGAACACATAATCCTCGAACCAGGCTCACAATGTGCCCAAGCTAGTAAGCAGGGAGCTGGGATTTGCACCAAGCTGCTTAACTTTAAAAATTATGCTCTTCCTATTACATGGGTCCAGGCTGCCAGTCCTCTCTCCTCACAGCGTGCTGCACACACACAACAGCAGTTCTTATACCTGTGAAGTTTCAGAGCTGAATAAAACTGTTGAGTGATCCATCCTTTGCAGCACGGACTTGAAGCCACAAAGACTGCAAACACATGCCAAAGGCAGCAAAGCAAATCAGTGACAGAGCCAGAGCTAGAAGAACACAGGTTCCTGGCTCTTAAAAAGATACTTTTCCCACAGAAAGAAAGGTGAGCATATTGGATGGGCAGCCTGAGCCACAAGGCTTCAGACTTCCACTTCCTAGAGTGCTGCACAAGCATGGAAGGCCAGCTCAGGAAGGCCCTGCACTCACCAGCGGGGGTGACTTCTGCTCCTCATGGCCAATGCTGCCTTCCCCCTGAGGCACAGAGGCCTCTGAGTGCTTCATGGCAACCTCTCTTTCCCTCTTTGCTACATGAAAGCACTTATCTTGGACAGTAGCATGCTCCTGTTTGTTCCTGTGCAGAAGAGAGATAGGGAGAAACAGATGCAGACAGCATGAAAAGAAGCATGTAGCTAAGACAAGGTCTGTGCATTAACTTCAGTCATTGAGCAGGATTGGCATTTGTGGGTTCATGAAACTATGGAACAATGAGACCAGCTACTAGTTGGCCAGGAAATAAGAGGGCACTGTGAAACCATATGCCCCATCATTTTACCCCAAGGTCTGGCATCAGTGACAGCTCCCCAGGCATGGGGAGATAGTGATATTTACTCAGCAAGGACAATATCGCTCAGGCACAGAAGGAAACGTGGCCAGGTGAGAAGTCAGGGAGCTATTTGCCCAATGAGAAAGCCTCAGGGCAGGGGTTCAATCCCAAGTCAGCCCCTCTTTCAAAGGAGGTGAGCCAGGTGGGAAGTCCACCTGCAACTTGCCTCCACTTGACAGCTTAAAAATTTTAGAAAGTAGCAGTCCTTTGTTCTGAACATTCAACTCTTCATCCTGAATATATGCCTGCCCTTTGACCTATTTCTGGACATTCTGCCTAGTAAAATAATCCAATAGCAAGAAAAAAGTTATTAGTACTAAGATGCTCTTAGCAATATTATTTATTATAATGAAAAAAATTGCAAGCAACCTAAATGTCCACCATCAAGGTCAAGTTAAATAAATTGGCACAATCATATAATGGTATATTATAGCACCATTAGAAAATATACTTTTTGACTTGTCTATAAGGTTGAATCTAAAAACTGAAAACCAATAAACAATACTTTTTAACAACAAAAATGTTTGTAAAGCAAGCATAAATAATGGAAAATAATTATAATCCTAAGAGGAAACAGCAAGATATAAAATTATATATTACCTTAAAAAAAATCCTAAACTGAGGGAAAGAAAACATGGAGGGAAAGAAACACTCCAAAATATTAATAGTGGTTGTCTTGAGATGATGAATCTATGGGCGAGTTTTTCATTTTATATAGTTTCTAAATCTTTCATTAGTATATGATACTTACATTTTTAAAATGTTTAAAAGTACCCTAAAAGTGGGAGGGTGGTTCAGGTTATTCTTGCAGAGCCCTCTTAAATTAGGGAGAATAAATTCTTAGAACGTGGGTCTTAATCTATGGCTATGGAACATGGAGCATGGCTGACCTATTAAGAAGAGTCAAATCCCCAGTCATGGCTGACCCTGTGCCCCCTAGACTAACTCATTGGGTTCTTTGACTACACAAAGGTTAATTTCCTCAAGGATGTTGAAGAAGTCAATTAGTAACAACCAGAGATAGCATTCATTGAGAACTCTGTGCACTAGGCACTGTGTCTATGTGCTTTATATGCAGTAACATATTTAGTCATAACAAGACCCCAATAAAAAAAGTATTCTTGGCAGGGTGCCACCACACCTTATAATCACACTTGTAATCCCAGCACTTAAGGAGGTGGAGGCAAGAGGACTGTTTGAGCCCACATGTTCAAGACCAGCCTGGGCAACATGAGGAGACTAAAAAATTAGCTGGGCATGGTGGCATGTGCCTGTAGTTCCAGCTACTTGGAAGATTGAAGCAGAAGGATTGCCTGAGCCCAGCAAGTTGACGCTGTGGTGGCCATGAGCGTGTCACTGCACTCTAGCCTGGGCAACAGAGTGAGACTCGGATTCAAAAAAAGAAAAAGAAAGAAAGAAAGTATTCTTCTTAGCCCTTCTTAGATGCATTAATTTTCCCATGTCCCATGACCAGAAAAGTGCAGGATGAGTATGCCACCCTGTGCTCCCTGAGGGCCTCTGTGCCTTAATCACTTTTCTACAAGTCCTCATGGGACTTGGAGAGGGGTGGCAAGCTCTTGGAATCATGGCCTGATAGAGGATACCAACATCCTGGGGCCAGTTCCTCTAAATGACAACAGTTAAAACTGTGAGGACTCCACATTCCTCACCTCTCTAAAAACATGCCTGCGTGCGCACACACAGAAGTTCCAGCCACCCAACTGTTTAGTCCTGCTTTTTAAAATGGATTTTTAAGAACATTAGCAGTCAACTTCCCCTCGCCTCTTTGGGTGTTTCTTCATCTTATACTAGGACCGGTAAACCATAGGGTTATCCTTCCAGGTAAATGAGATAAAATATGCAAAACAACCCTCAAGGGCTTCTGGCATGGGGAAAGGTCCCAGTGAGGAAAGCTTTTAGGCAGAGTGCAGTGCCAGGAGTAAGTGGGCACTTGGGCTCACCTCTCAAGATCCTCCTTCACCCCTGACGGTTGCTGGCCACCACTAATCTCCGACCTGGGCAGTTTGGATTCTGCAAAGGATAGAGAAGAAAAGGCCTGTCAGCAGCACTGCAAGATCAACCAGGGCATGGTGGTCACCCAGGAAAGGGGCTCAGGGATGCAACCACATGGATGAATATGCTCCCTTGGAAGATGGACACCACGCCTGACAGACAGATGCATCCCCATGAGGAGAGGAGGAACACATTCTTGATTCAGCAGTCTGGAAAGCCCAATGCCCCTAAGTCTCCTGTCATCCCAAAGGGGTTTCTGCAACAGGACAGACAGCACTGGGCAGGCAGTAGACAGAGTCACTTGGGTACAGTATTCCAAATCCATTCCTACCCACTCAATAATTATCTGGAATCTAGGTCATCTCCTAAACACAGGCCAGAAGTGGCTAAGGGAAGCCAATACTTTGCTTCATGAGGACAGCCTACCTGGTCTAGGTTTTGGCATGGAGAACGAGGAGAGACGGCTCTTTAAATCTTGTTTCCCTTAGTATCCCATTCTCCAGATATCTAGTCCTGAGTGTGCCACCCCATATTAAATCTAATTCTATTTTAACCCCTATTACCTCTAGTATTACTGAGATCTTTGAGTTGTTTCAGTAGGTCTACTTTTTGATCAACATGAATTTGAGGATTTCTGAGCAAATCCAATTCACTCTCTCTACCACTTGCTAACTGAAAGTTTTGTTATCCCCACAGAATCATCCTTCCAAAACTCTCTGTCAGCCAAAGCGCAACACCTTTTAGTGGGCTTCTCCAACATTCTACCTGTCCATCATATGTTTCTAAAGCAGTTAGAATGACAGAAGAGCCAGGCTTTCTGAGGCAGTATATGAGGATTTGAGATTCTACTCTCAGACCTGTCAGGGCATCCTTCAGGAGGCACTTCTAAAAGTGATCTAGCACTTTCTTTGTGTGTGTGTGTGTGTGTGTGTGTGTGTGCGTGTGTGTTTGTGTGTGTGTGTGTGTGTTGGAGTCTGTCGTCCAGACTGGAGTGCAGTGGCACACTCACACCATCCCCATATTGACCTGCTGGGCTCCGGTGATCCTTCCACCTCAGCCAGAACTACAGGCGCACGCTACCACGCCTGGCTAATTTTTTTTATTTACTGCAGAGACAAGGTCACACCAAGTTGCCCGGGCTGGTCTTGAACCCATGGGCTGAGGCATATTCACTCACATCGGCCACTCAAAGTGCTGGGATTAGAGGCTGAGCCACCGAGCCTGGCCATGACTCGCACTTTCAAATCACCTCTCACATGAGGACAGCACACCTCACATGCTCCTCATAACATGCCAGGTTCTCAACTGAGACTATGAAGACCACTGTCAGGTTTTACTTTGACATTAATGCTCCTCATTCTTATTTATTTATTTACAATAATTTTATTGAGATATAATTTATAGTATTTATTTTTGCTTCTTACATATTTTCCTTTTTTTAACTATAAAAATAATATAGTACCCAAGTAGAAAATGTGGCACTAATCCTCACTCCCACCTTCTGTGTATATGCCTGCCCACTCACCTCCTCCTGGTAATGCACATTATGTAGTATGAGTTTCTTCACAGTGAAGTTGAGAATTTTGTCATATTTATGACCATTTGTGCACATTTTTTATTGCGTTGTTTTACTTAAAGATCTTTAAGTGTTTTTTATACATTAAGATTACTAGTACTTTGCCCTGTATTATATTTTCCCTAGTTTATCATGCATTCATTACTTTTTTTCTAAATTGTCTCTAATTTCTTATAGGCAAATTTCCTACTTTTCTTCTTAATTAAAGTCTTCTTTACTTGATGTGGTGCTTAGAAAAATCTTCTTTTGTATTTTTAGGTCTTCAATTCATACATTTAAATCTTTTATTTCCTCTGACATTTACTTGGGGGTGTGGCATGAGATAGGGATTTAATTTCAATGTCTTTTTCTAATCTCATTCCATTGCTAAAATAAAACCAAAACTGGTTTTAAAGCAAAAAGTATCTTAAAATTGGTCAACTTCAAGATAGTCCATTTATGCTGACTCTTCTTCAGTATTCAAAAACTCAAAACTCACACCCTCATTTAAACAAAAATATTTTGTTGTAACTAAAACCAAATGACAAAAGAATATTATTCTTGCTTTGTAAACTACTGAAACTTACCAAAACTGAAGCAAACATTTCTTTTATCTTCTAAAGTTGAAACTGGTGTGTATTTTAGCAATTTTCACTTTTATTATCACTTTCTTCCTCTCACCAGTTAATCCAATTTATGAAAATACACTGGGTCAAGTTAGACCCCTCCTAAGCCCTCCCCATCAGCCAGCTAGACATATCATGGGGAGTGACTAAGTCCTTCTGGTAAAGGATAAGGGCATCTTACAGGTCTTCCAGGAATCTCACTCAGCCCCGTTGGTGGCAGATATTCAGAAAGATCTCAAAGTGGGTCCAAATCCAAGTGCTGACTTGCTTTACCACGTGTAGAAAGCTCTGAAGGGGACAACAGGAGCTAAGGTGTCAGAAAACCTGGCCGGCATTCCCAGACTTGAAGATGAAGCCAGAGTGCCCTGGTCACTGTGGGGAGGTCTCCATTACCTAGCTCCTGAGCACCACCCCAACATTTCCCCTTCCGTGTCCTCTGTATTACAGAGACAGCAAACTGCTTCTGGGTCCCCAAACAGGCCAGCTGCACCATGCTTGTTCCTGCTGTTCCCCTGACAGCAATGCCGATCTACCACCACTCTACCTTTCAAAATCTGGTTAGCCCCTCCCTAAAATCACGAGGCACTCCCTCCTCTGTGCTAACCTGGACCTCGGGCAAGACTATAGCGTTACATCATGACACGATACCACAATCTATTAGGTTACACATCTGGCTCCTTAACTAGAGTTGAGTGTGCCATTAGAGGGGGTCCCTGTCCACCTATCACTGTGTCCTGGCACGAGGCGCAGAACTTGGTCCATGGATAGCCTTCTGTAAATACTGAGTGAACAGGATATAGTTTCTGCCTCCTAAACTCTTATAACCTAATGGAAGATGAGTAGAAAAGACAGCACTAACATAAGGCTACGACCAAGGTGAACAATCCAGTGAATGGTTCTCCACTGTGAAAAGAGTCTGTCCTCTGTAGTGGAATGGCTCCTCCAGTCAATCAACTTTTTAAAAAATCAAGTTAAAGGTGATAGACAGACCCAGATTTTCAAAAGCAAGTATTTACTGAGCAGTTGCTTCAAGGACTTTTTTATTTTGCAATATCTTAACATTTTTATGCCTTACAGCTTCCTTTCTTAAAACTTTGTTTCTTTGTGTTTGCTGCAAGTGGTTATTTGGGGAAGAGCAGGAATTTCCTCTTTGTGATAGGCACAGCAGAGAACAAATCAGCTTTGTAAGCCTCCACAGTGGGCCAAGAAAGAGAAACTCCTAGGATCCCCCCTAGGAGGGATAAGCTAGGGTTGCTGAGGTAGGCACCGAAGTCACTGACTTAAGTCTCCATTGTTTGGTCCAATTCACATAAATCTATATAATTTTTTGACTTGAGAGACTAGAGTTACCTAGGTTGTACTGGTTATGCTCCTTCTGAGAATCCTTAAAAGCAACTTCTTACCTGACGTTGTCAAACCAAATCCTGTCTCATTTTTTACATATGGAGAAACTGAAACAGAGTGAGGGAAAACAGTCTGGCCCAAATTTAACTTCTGTTCTGACTAAACTGTGCTGCCTTCATTGTAGCAGAGAGCATCTGCCACACTTAGAAAGCCACCCTCTCCTGGAAAGCACACATAGGAATGGAGTTGCTTATATCATCCAGAAACAAATATGAGCCACATTAGCAATCAGAAGGGTTCGGACAAGTACATTATTTGTCACTCCTTTCACCTTCTCTTCCACTCTCCACAGAATTGTTACAAGCTACCATACCTTTCTGAGGGGCTTTCAAGTTGCTGTCTCGAGGGCCAAATGCAGAAGGTGAAGGAGAAGTAGGTGGAGGGCTTGGCTGCTGCCCTTCTGAGGGCTGGCTGAAATCCTTCATGCGGTTAACCACATTTTCAGACAGCTACAGAATTGGGAAAGGACAAGAAAAAGGTGTGTTACAGAAACTGCTAGAAATTGAGACTTACCTTTATTCATGCCCCAGATTTACTGAATACACTGATTCCTCAAGACCAATTCCAATAATATAATTCTACTCAAAATACTTTCATAGTGGCCCAGATTAATGCCAACCCATCTGGAATTCCAAGCTACCACAGCATATCCCCTAATGGCTGTGCAGCATCATTACCCATCACTCCCCTACACACACCCTTCACTGGTGGAACTTGACTTCTCCTGTTTCTCACCTCCTCTGAATTTACATATGCCATGCCCTTGGAAGTACCACCAGCCCCACCTCGCACCTACGTCCACCTCCACCTGTCCAAATCTTACCCTCAATGTCCCTTCTCCAGAGAACTTTCCCTGATAGTATCCAAGTGAAGTGCAGGCATACCTCATTTTATTGCATTTCACTTCATTGCACCTTGTAGATACAACATTTTTTACAAATTGAAGGTTTGCGGCAACCCTGCATCAAGCAAGTCTAGTGGCATCATTTTTCCAATAGCATGTGCTCACTTCAAGTCTCTGTATCACATCTTGGTAACCATCGCAATATCTCAAACTTCATTATTATTATATTGGCTATGGTGATCTGTGATCAGTGACCTTTGATGTTACTATTTTAAGTGTTTGACGGTGCCATGACCTGTGCCCATATAAGACAGTGAACTTAGTAAATAGATGTTGTATGTGTTCTGACTGCTCCACCCACCAGTCGTCCTCTCATCTCTCTCCCTCTCTGTGGGCCTCCTTCTTCCTCCTTGAAATACAACAAAATTAAAATTAGGCCAATGAATAGCCCAACAATGGCCTCAAGTGTTCAAATGAAAGGAAGAGTCACATGTCTCTCACTTTAAATCAAAAGATAGAAATGGCTAAGCTTGGTGAGGAAGGCATGCCAATAGCTGAGACAGGCTGAAAGCTAGGCCTCTTGTGCCAAACAGCCAAATTGTGAATGCAAAGGAAAAGTTATTGAGGGAAGTTTAAATTGCTGTTCCAGTGAACACAGAAATATAAGAAAGTGAAGCAGTATTTTTGCTGATACAAAATTTTAGTGGTTGATATAGAAGATCAAACCAGTCACAACAATCCCTTAAACTAAGCCTAATCCAGAGCAAGGCCCTAACTCTCTTCAATTCTAAGAAGGCTGAGAGAGGTGAGAAAGATGCAGACGAAAAATTGGAAGCTAGCAGAGGTTGATTCATTAGGTTTAAGAAAAGAAGCTGACTCCATTACATAAAGTGCAAGGTGAAGCAGCAAGTGCTGATGCAGAAGCTACAGCAAGGCATCCAGAGATCTAGCTAGGATAACTGATGATGGTGGCTACATTAAACAATAGATTTTTAATGTAAACAAAAGTCTCATACTGGGAGACGATGCCATCTAGGACTTTCATAGCGAGAGAAAAGTCAATGCCTGGTTTCAGAGAAAGGGACAGACTGACCATCTTGTTAGGGGCTTAATGCAGCTGGTGACTTTAAGTCAATGCTCATTTACCATTCCAGAAATCCTAGGACCCTTAAGAATTATGCTAGATCTAACCTGCCCATGCTCTAGAAATAGAACAAAGTCTAGATGGCAGCACATTTCTTTAAAACATGGTTTACTATATATTTTAAGCCCACTGTTGAGACCTGATGCTCAGAAGAAAACATTCCTTTCATCAAAAGATTACTGCACGTTGACAATGCACCTGGTCAACCAAGAGCTCTGACAGAGATGTACAGGAGATGAATGTTTTCATACCTGCTAACACAGCATCCATTCTGCAGTCCATGGATCAGGGGATAATTTTGACCTTCAAGACAGTGTGATGATTTCTGAAAGAACTAGAAATTGACCTTCCATATGACCCAGCAATTCCCCTATTCCCAATATGTAGGCAAAGTAAACTGAAAACTTTCTGGAGATGGATGTAGGCAAAGTAAACTGAAAACTTTCTGGAGAGGATTCACCATTCTAGATGTCATTGAGAATATTTATGATTCATGGGGAGGAAGTCAAAATGTCAACATTAATAGGACTTTGGAAGAAGTTTATTTCAACTCTCATGGATGACTCTGAGTAGTGGAGGGAGTCAGTGAAGATGTGGTGCGAGTAACAAGAGAACCACAATTAGAAATGGAACCTGAAGATGTGACCGAACCACTGCAACCTCATGATCAAACTTAAAGGGATGAAAAGTTGCTTCTTACAGATGAGCAAGAAAGTGGTTTCTTGAGATGGAATCTACTTATGGTGAAGATGATGTGAACATTGTTGAAATGACAACAAAGGATTTAAAATAGTATACAAACTTAGTTGATTTAGCAGCAGCAGGGTTTGAGAGAATAGACACCAATTTTGAAAGTTCTCCTGTGGGTAAAATTCTATCAAACAGCATCACATGCTACAAATAAATCTTTTGTGAAAGAGTCAATCAATGCAGCAAGTTTCACTGCTGTCTTATTTTAAGAAATCGCCACAGCCACCTGAGCCTTCAGCAATAACCAGCCTGATAAGTCAGCAGCCATTAACACTGAGGCAGACCTTCTGCAAGCAAAAAGATTATAACTCACTGAAGGTTCAGATGATCATTAGCATTTTTTAGCAATAAAATATTTTTAATTAAAGTATGTACTTTTTTAGACATAATGTTGCATACTTAACAGACTACAGTATAGTATAAATATAACTTTTATATATATTGGGAAAACAAAAAATTGTGTGACTTTCTTTATTTTGATATTCAACTCACTGTATTGTAGTGATCTGGAACCAAGCCTGCAATATCTCTAAGGTACATCTGAATCATTTCTCCCCTTTCTTTAAGCCCTCATTATAACACGTGTGTCTCTCAGAGAAGTAGTATACCTCCTACCTACCTATCCTGATGGTTTTTAAATACCACAAAAGCTAAGGCTGCATCTCACTTATCTCTGTATACTTCTAATGCCATGCATATATAATCAAAATACTGCTTGACTCATTTCACCTTAGTTTCCCTAACGAAGATTGGATAGGATAACTAAAATGTTCGTTCATTCTAGAGTAAGTGAAATAGGCCTGAGGGTGTCATAAAACATTTTACTGAGACAAAATAGCAAGCTAGGGATATGCCTATGATGAAAACCCTAAGAGTTCACTTAGTAAATATTTATTAAGTACCTAATATGTGCAAGGCATCATAAAACACAGCTGAGGGAAAGATATTAAAAATGACTTTAAGATAAAAGACATGATCAGACAGAGAAAAACACTCCCCTAGGTACATAGAGGTATGTGTAAGGACACTCACTGTGACATAGGAAAAAATAAATTGCAAACAACATAAACACCCTGTAATAGAGAACTGGCTAAAGAACCTTGGTGTACACGTTCTATGAAATTTTATGGAACCACTAAGATAGAATGAGGTAAAATACATATATACTGTCATGGAAGATACATGGACTATACAGCTGATTGTTTAAAACATCATAGAACGTTTTATGTATCTCAATTTTGTAAAAGAAAACAATTATAAAAATGTAGACATACAAACACAGCTATTTAGTATAGCTAAATTTGAATATATGCATCGCCATATATCCACAAATTCAAAGTGTGAATGTGCGTTTGGGTTTTCACAGATGTGCATATGCATGTGTATATGGGTCTGCTCAGACGGGAAGTTTACAAAGCTGCTTACCAAAGCACACAGGGGGTGCTCTTCAAGTGGGAACAGGAGCAGCTCGGGCAGAACTTTCACTTGTGATGCTTTTATGTCTTATGAAAATTTCTTTAGTAACTAAAGATAATGACATTAATCTCTCTGATACTTAAAAATCCAAATCAAATAGCTAATTAATGATATAAGACAAGAGAAGACCAAACACATACCTCAATAGACAAGAATCGATTTTCAACAAGGATACCAAGACAATTCAACGGGGATAGAATAGTTTCTTCAGCAAATGATGCTAGGACAACTGCATACTCTCTTGCCAAAGAATGCAGTTGGACCCCTACCTTACATTATATACAAAAATGAACTCAAAACAGATCTGAGACCTAAATGTAAGAGCTAAGATAATTAAACTCTTAGAAGAAAACACAGGACAGGCACAGTGGCTCAAGCCTATAATCCCAGCACTTTGGGAGGCCGAAAAGAGAGGATTGCCTGAGCCCGCAGGTTTGAGACCAGCCTGGGCAACATGGTGAGACCTCGTCTCTACAATAAAAATTAGCCAGGCATGGTAGCGCGCACCAGTAGTTCTGGCTACTTGGAAGGCTGAGGCAAAAGGATCGCCGGAGCCCAGCAGGTCGACACTGGGTTGGCTATGAGCATGCCACTGCACTCCAGCCTGGGCAATGGCGTGAGACTTCAACTAAAAAAAAAAAGAAGAAGAAGAAAACACAGGGGTAAATCATTATAGCCTTGGGTTTGGCAATGGATTCTAAAATATGATATCAAATACACGAGCAACAAAAGAAAAAAATAGATATACTAGACTTCATCAAACTTAAAAAGTTTTGTGTATCAAAGGACATAAGCAACTGAAAAGACAACCCACAGAATGGGAGAAAACATTTGTAAATCATATATCTGATAAGAAATTTCTTTCTAAACGGGCTCGGTGGCTCAGCCTGTAATCCTGCGCTTTGGGAGGCTGAGGTGAGTGGATTGCCTGAACCCGTGGGTTGAGACCTGCCTGAGCAACTTGGCGAGACCTCATCTCTACAATAAATAAAAAAAAATTAGCCGGGCGTGATAGTGCGCACCTGTAGTTCCAGTTACTTGGAAGGCTGAGGCGGAAGGATCGCCGGAGCCCAGCAGGTCGAGGCTGCGGTGGCCAAGAGCGGCCACTGCACTCCAGTCTGGGTGACAGAGTGAGACTCCAACTCAAAAAAAAAAAAAAAAAAAAAAATTTTTTTTCTAAAATATATAAAGAAATCTCACGATTGAATAATAAAAAGAAAAACAACCCAATTTTA